TTCCCACCTTGGTATCACCCAACCCTGAAAACAAATTCTTAATACCACACTGAAGCGTTTGGTAATAACATATGAATAGGATCAGACAAAAGGTTAAAGGTTAACTATGAACACTTCACTCTCCCATTCTTACAGACAATGTAGCACACAATAAAGTAAATCAAGTCTGGATAGAATTTTATTGATTCCAGTGATCAGGGCTACAAAAACTGTGCAAGTAATAGAAAATGCATTTTCAAATGTAATTACCTTAAGAAATAAGAATATATTAACATCATTTCATTGAAAAAAAAAATCAATTTTACATTCGCTGTTCTGCATTTACACATTAATTTGGATTCAGTACAAGTGAAAAAAATACTCAATAAATAATTAATTGAATCAGAACTTAAAAATGTTTAAAGATTTAGTCTACTTTTTTTTAAAAACAAGATTTGTATAAAATATAGAAATTCAGAATTATGATCAAAAGCGAAAAAAGAATTATTCCAGAATGTCTAAAAAAATATAAAATTAGGTTTAAATTAAATTAAAAATTAAATGAATAAGTGATAGTTTTTAGTTAATTGTAGTGATGTTACAGTTTAGTTTGTTTATTTCAAAAGATTAATACTGGAATGTCATTTATTTCATTTAATATACATAGTCAAGGTAGTCAGGTTTCATTAACAGCCCTTTATTTATTTTGTTTGGACGCTTGGTTGCTTTCCCCAAAACTCATCGCGGCGTCTCCGTGCTCTCTCCAGAACTTCCGATGCCAACGAACAGCTGGAGGAGACTGTTCCAGTAGATTTCACAGACCACCGGTCTTCGTCATCTTGCAGGTCCAGTCTGGCCTCTGGTCTTGGCGGTGGTGTAATGAAACCGCTGTCTGGTCGGCTATATTGTGCGGCCCTTGTAGAGGGTTCCAAGGGGACTGACCACGCTTCAGCTGGTTTTCTCAGGTACGATGGTGGTTGGTCGGATTCTCTGGAATCTTCTAGAATCAAATGAAAGGTGTTCAGTTGAGACATGGTCTTGTTTATGAATATATCTGATGCTACAATAAACGTTAAAATAAACTGACCAGAAAAACTGCCATCATTTTCTCTCGCAACACTGTAGTATTCATAAAAACATTTGTTTTAATTTTGGCAAATTAAACTCCAATAAGCTGAGACTATTAGACAATTTCAACAAAGGATACATGTAACTAGCTTCAAACACAGTGAGTGGATAAAACCAATTTTTCAAATGGTATTTGTGGATTTGAATTCAAATGGAGTCAGAGGTCAAGCGAATAAATTATTGAATCAAAAAAATGTTCTACATTTTGAACATTGTGAATTATATCCGATCACAAAGATATAATTTCATTTCAAATGCAAGCATTGTTTTAAACAAGCAGCCTATCGACTGAGATAGCTCCGCTGTTAGCAATGCACATTTCAATTAAAGAACTGAAGACATCATTAGAAAATGGACAATATGTATAGTATCAAAGCAATTAAACTTACAGTTTTTAACAAGAAGTCGAAAATATCACTTTATATCAAAAATGACCAAAATATTCACCAAAATTAGAGAATTGAAGATATCATCACGAAATGAACAAATCTGAGAAAGGTCTACATGTAGTATCTATATGTGTAATATCAAAGCAATTGAACTTTTGGTTTTTAACAAGAAGTCGAAAATATCACTTTTACCAAAAATCACAAAAACATTCACCAAAATTAGAGAATTGAAGATATCATCACAAATTGAACAAATCTGAGAGAGGTCCACATGTAGTACGTATATATGTAATATCAAAGCAATCAGACTATTGGTTTTTTACAAGAAGTCGAAAATATCACTTTTTACCAAAAATGACAAAAATATTCACCAAAATTAAAGAATCGAAGATATCATCACGAAATGAACAAATCTGAGAAAGGTCTACATGTAGTATCTAAATATGTAATATCAAAGCAATTGAACTATTGGTTTTTAACAAAAAGTCGAAAATATCACTTTTTACCAAAAATTACAAAAATATTCACCAAAATTAGAGAATTGAAGACATCATCACAAAATGAACAAATCTGAGAGAGGTCCACATGTAGTACCTATATATGTAATATCAAAGCAATTGGACTTGCGGTTTTTAACAAGAAGTCAAAAATATCACTTTTTACCAAAAATGATAAAAATATTCACAAAAATTAGAGAATTAAAGATATCATTACAAAATGAACAAATCTGAGAGAGGTCCACATGTAGTACCTATATATGTAATATCAAAGCAATTGCACTTGCATTTTTTAACAAGAAGTCGAAAATATCACTTTTTACCAAAAATGACAAAAATATTCACCAAAATTAGAGAATTGAAGATATCAACATGAAATGAACAAACCTAAGAGAGGTCTACCCAAGGTACATATACACCAAGTATCAAAGCATTCAGGCTTGTAGTTTTCAAGAAGAAGTCGAAAAAGTAAAACATTGACACGGACGACGACGGACAATCACTCATATGATAAGCTCCGCTCGACAAAGTCGACAGCGGAGCTAAAAACAAATGCGAGCATTGTAGCCAAATTTTTTATATTCAAATGAGTGTTTTATTTTACAATGGTTGAAGTCAAAACAAAAATCACTGACAAGAGAGATTGATAAAAAAGTAGTTTTCCTGATCAATTCATTTTGGTGCCCGCTGTAATACAAGTACATGATTTTGAACCATTGAATTAGCTAAGCATTCAACCAGTTAGAGATGAGTCATTATTGCTGATGGAGGAGGGGGGGGGGCTGAAATGGCATATGAAATAAAAAATCAAAGAAAGCTTAGAAAGAACTCCCATGTGCTGAGAGTATTGGAGACACATTAAATATAATTCGAAATTACTTAGCTGAAAACTAATTATGCAAATCAGAAAATTAATATGACCAGATTTGAGTGTAAAACTAATGAGGTCTGCGCAATGTAACAGAAAATCTATGTTTCCAAGTTTAATTGAAATGTGATTAGGACCAACAAATTATGAATTATTATGCTTATTAGGGAATTAATATGAACAGAGTTTTACCCTAAACTAATTAGATTTGTACATTGTCCTAGAGCATCTTTCTACTAAGTTTCATTGAAATGGAATAATTAGTACTTTAGATATCAGTGTGAAAGCTTAAA